ATCAAAGATTTAGTGAAAAATAGATATAAATTATCAAAAGCATTTGTAGAGATGGGACTGCTACAGAGATTGGATGCAGAAAGTAAGAGCATGCAAATTAGAAGAGGAATCAGACAAGGACATACTTTTGACAAGGATATTCACAATGCATTTAGGATTATTTAAATAACTGCATAAGCATAAATGGGGAAAAGGATTTACCATATCAAATGTTCTGACAGCATAGCCATTATATTAATCAGTGAAAATTAATTGCAGGAAATTACTCAAGAGCATAACAAAGAGGGCTGCAAAGTTGGCTCAAGATAAATACAAACAAAGCAGTAGTCATGTAACAGCAGATTCGCTCAACAAATGAATTACAATGCAGCAGAATAACTATGCCTAGGGCTATTATTTAATGTGTATCGGAATTAAATTGATAAACTAAAGAGGTGAACAAGAGCATAATGGAGTACTTTTGGAAAACTGGATTTGGCAATGAAAATCAATGTACAAATGTAAGTTTGGAAGAAAGTTTTCAATTGCCTCTGATGATACATGGATCAAATCTGAAAAGTATGCAGAGATGCATGACTGAAATTGCACTGAGGCAGGAAGAGAAAAGCATATTATTATAGAACAAACCACAAATTATAGATATTACATTGACTATTTGCAAAGTAAGTGGGGAAGGTATGGTTCCTGAAGGATGAGACTGGTGATGGAATGGGAGCCAAAGCAGAGAATATACCCGAGCGGGTGACTTCTGTAGAGATGGAGTGATACGATCAGTTCGTGTGTAGGAGGAAGATGGATTGTGGTATCACGTTACTATGGGATGGCAACAGCATGGGAAGGCCTTCATCCAATGACGGAAAGAACACGGCTGAGGATGAATAAAAACACACGAGGAACTTTCTGCATAATAAAATAGCTTTTTCCAACATTAGCACATGCAAATTTGAATATTAATAACTAGTGGCATATTTGCTGTGGAGATGGAGCAATGAGAACATGTTTAAATATTCACGTTTCATACGAGGGTACTCACAGAAAGGGATTTTTATTTGCCTAATTTTGCAGAAAAAATGCTTTTAAGAAACAACACATTGGGCAATTACATAGACAGACTTATGAAATTACCGATTTGGGTATTTTCCAATTAGACATTTTGAGGAGCCTTAAGAAAAATTTATTTAATTTTCGGTGTGCGTTTGCTCATCTTTTATAGCGTGTTATAAACGATATGGAAAAAAATGGATTGTGGAGTGAAAATTGGTTTTGGAAATCACAAGAAAAATTGTACCAGCAGATGGCAGCATTCAGCTAATAACACTGTGTAACAAAAACATGTTTTTGTTCCTGGGTAGTAAGTGTTATTTTCCAATTGCTTATGCCTCAAAAGTAGAGAAAATGGCTATTATTTTCCACAAACTTTGCTTTTGTGACCAGGACACAAAAGCAAAGTTAATAATCCACTCCATTAATAACACTGTGTAACAAATTTATATATTTTTTTGTTCCTGGGTAGTAAGTATTATTTCCTCATTGCTTATGCCTCTAAAGTACAGAAAATTGCTATTATCTCCACAACCTTTGCTTTTGTGACCAGGACAGTGATATTTTGAAATTGACCAATTTTCAATGAGAAAACGTGTGCATTTGTGTCATTCCTTCACATAAAGTCCTGGTCACAAAAGCAAAGTTTGTGGTGAATAACATCCATTTTCTATACTTTGAGGCATAAGCAATTACAAAATAACACTTTACTACCCAGGAACAACAATCGTGTTACATAGTGTAATGACTGACGTAAGAACCTCCACAGTTACGTTTGACCCAAGCTACACGTCAGAGTAATTGAAGCTGTCAGTGAGTGTTTAGTGTAAGAAAGCTCTTTGTAATAAAAGGTGGCAATTCAGACTGCCATCAGTCATTTGGATGAACAGACGCAACTCCTTAATAATAACATTTTAGAAAAATGTCAAATACTGCTTTGTAAAGATGTATTACGGTACCGTTTGATGTTCAACAGGTTCAATACACTTACAAATATTTTAGTAATAAAGAACCCCGTTTTATATGCTGCTGACATGTACAGACGTGCAAAGAGATGCATGAAAGAATATCTGCTATTTTATATAAAGTATATTAGGTTGGTAATGTACTGTATGTTATATTATGAGGGATGTTGCCGTGGGGTCATGGGCAGCACACTGCATTTGCAATGCAGAGGTCAAAGGTTTGTTCTGCCAGTGGGGCAGCTGAACGGATGAGCACGTTTCTTAAATACCCCCCCCCACCCAGGCGTGTGAGTGGGTACACCACTAGGTATTCGGATCGGTAGGTTGCGTGTGATGGGGTAAAGTATGGGTACTTCCACCTCTTCAGAGACATTTAGTCTGCGTGGAAGAGGAGACCGAAATATAATTTAGAGAGTATATGCAGAGATCCCTCTCGACTAGTGGAGGCCTTTCTGACACAGGAGGCTGGGGCACTAGTACCTTTATCTTTTTATATTATGCGTATGTTGGTGGGTTGTAATGTTGTGTATTTTGAATTGTGATTTCGCTGACGTCGTAAACACTGTATAATTATAAATAATGCGTCTTGAGAGTATTATTTAGTATACGTATATTGTGTTCAAATCAGAATAATGTGCAATAGCAAGAAATCAACTGGCATAAATAAATAAATTGGCATCAGTTGTAGGCAGGTAAAAACAGGGCTTTTAGTGGTTGTCTAAATATAAAATAAAATGGAGTCTTTATTGTTTTAATGTAAGCAAAACAAAACTGCATTAAATAGACGTTTGTATTTGTGGGCTACTGAAAATTCCAGTGTGTAAATAATAAAATCAATCACGTTGGACAACAGCATACACCAGTCACTGGCAAACATGCCTGACTGGAGAAAACACCAGAAACATTTTGTTATCTCCTGCACTTGACAATAACTCATTGATATGCCTGAAAACCAAAAAAGTTCAGGTTGTATGGAGATGGAGGGGACACAAGTGCAATTGATGGAAAGCATTGCACACTGCAGCCTGAAACCTTGGTTTCAAAACGTATGTTTGGTCATCTTTGTCTTAAACCTAGTTTGTGACGTATTCTCTCGGGAGCTTTCTCTGCAGCCATAACTGTGCGTGATGGTTTTCCCTCCAAAATCCATAATGGTATAAAAAAAATGAAAAAGCCTACTTGTATTTGACCTCTAATGAGAAGCTTTCCAGCAATCGGGAGCAGCACAAAGACAAAGACCCCCCTCCCCCCGTATAGCCTTATGAGACGTGTGGGGCAAGTGCTGTTAGCGAGCACCTATGAAGACCGGCACAGGTACACAAGGTGGTGGGTGGCCAGCTACCACGCCCGCCTTTGTCTCCCGAGTGACGATGTTTATGCATCACAGTAGGTACTCATTTAAGGCTGAGTCGAACCAAGCGGAGGTCCAGGAGCGGTTCAAATAATCGTCAGTGTTGGCCGTGAGCGGGAATTAAACCCGGGTATCGGTCTCATAGCGCAACGCGCTAACCACTGTGCCACCGCTCCCCACGAGGGGGCAGCACTCTACTTGATACACAGACATGGGTAAAAACAAAAGCTCATGGTGGGAAAAAGTGGCCTGCTTTTCAGATGTAAAATGCTGCATGGAAAAATTAGAGTGCACTTAACATGGTCTTATCTGGCATGCTACCCTTGGTTTAATGCACAACAAGACAGATTGCGCTTTATCGCAAAAATATTGTGAGATGCCATATGTGGCGATGCAATTTTCTGTAAAATCGTGAGATGATCTTTCACCAGAGTTTTATCCTTTTTACGGTGTTTTTTGTCCATTTTGGCAATACCGGACTTTTAAATAGTGTTTGTACATGTGCGTTTGCATTTGTTTTATGCACTGGTCCATATAGTTTCATTTGGAAATTGATATTTAATGTATAGTGTTTTTAAACAAGTCTACTTAAATTGCATTAAATATTTACTGATGACATTGAATTCTGAAAAATATTGGAATAAATAGTCAGGTAATGAATTCAGCTGATGTCCGTGATCATTTAATTAACGTAAAAAGCAATGATGGGCATGTTTCAATTGTCTTACTCTTAATCCGATATATAATTTTACTTTCCTCATGTAATTTTAGTATTTTATCTTTATACTGTACATGGTAAAGATTGCTTGGATGACTGCGTCAAGTTCCAATTCATCAAATGCCTCTTTGGAGCCTCTTCAGTCTACATATTGGTATTTGATTTTGATTTAGAACAATTTCACGCACATATCCACGTACATTTGACAGTTTCCCTTCCTAATGCCATCATTTCAAGAACAGTGAAAAGCGAAAATTAAATATATGCAACATTTAACCCATTTAATTCCAATCAGTTTTACAGTTCACATACCAGGGAAAACCACAACATTTTCAAGGGCAGGCAAAGCAGCAGCAGCAGCATCGCTTTGCTGTATAATACTGCATTTGTTTCCTTTTGTAAAGGCTCTTCATAAAAAATGCACATTGCTCAGCACAACACCACCGAGTAAGCGCGGAGGGGGGGGGGGCACACGGATTGGGAGCTTGTCGTCTGGACAGAATACTGCTTATCAAGGAGTGAAACTCGTATTCATTCACGTGGAATGTACATATGAGCTTCTAAACTGTGTATTTTTGTCTTCTTCTGAGAGTGCATGCTCCCCGTACCCCTTATGCCACCTTGCAGTTCATAACACTGCCAATGCACCTTTCTCCCCCACTCTATCCGCTTGCTCCAAAACCCCGGGTCCTCCCTCCTCTGCTCGCTCAACATCAGCTGCTTGGCTTCGTGCCCTGGCCACGGGTGCTTTATCAATCTCGTCGTCTTGCAATAAACTAATAATGCAAAGGCTGCCATTGGCTTGCACGCTCGCCTCCCCACCATTGGCTGTAGCTAAATCAAGCCGAGCCCTCTTTTTGCCCGCGATGGTTTCCCACCCCTCCGTCCCTCCCTCCCCTCCCCTCCCGTGTGTTTATTCCTCCTCGAAATCTCCGCTCGGTGGTTCAGTCGTTCGCGGAGGCAACGTCGGGGGTGGGTCCCCAGTGCGTGCGCCCCCGCAGTTCGGTGGCGGCTGTAACCCGGTTAGGATGCGTAATGCTGCGAGGCGCGTGTTCTGTCCCCTGCCTGACCGTTGTTATCCCGAGCGTTGTTCACGATGCAGAGACTAGGAGCCCGCGGTGGCTTGGACTATACTGAACAGAGGACAATGATGCTCAACTTACTCTGTGTGTTCTCGACCCTCACAGCAGGTTTTGCTAATGGACAAGGTACTGTGATGGCTATACTTTTTTGTGTGTTTGCAATTACACGTGGTTTTGTTTAATACATGGTTTAAGGATGTTTTAATTTTACACGGAATACGACTGACACTTTTTTTTGTGTTACATTTCTGATCTCTCCACTCTGGCGTACATGTAATATTTTTTTAATGTATACCTTATAACCATAACAAATATAGCATTTTTCTTTGCTTTGAAGTGATATCATCCTGCATAATGCATGTGTTTAATTGCGTTGCCGTTAATTCACAAAGCACAGATATTTAATGTTCGAGAAAATTACACGGATATTTAGCTTCAGTTGATTTTCGTGTCAGAGGTGTGGCTTGTTTTAATCAGACGCATCTGATTTAATATCATGACAGATACTTAGTGCATTGTTATGTCTAAGGTGAGTGATCCATAAAGTGTGATTAGCCTATTCGGTTGACGCGTATTGAAAAGGACAACATGTTGTTGTGATGTTACGTGTCTCTGCTTGACGTATTATGAGGGATTTGCAATGTGTTTAATTACTTAATCACGTTTTTATCAATTCAGGCTCTCATTGCACGAATTCCATTCCTGCATATGGTACATTTATTTCAAATGTATAATCTAAATCATATTTCGTAAGCAACACATTCGGTTTCTAAAATCACGGAGATACTCGTTTTAACTGAACACACTCAAGTGTTTAACTGCCTTTCATCGTTTCGTATAAGACCATGCGATTTGTTTAAACGCAGCGATAATGAAGCCCGTGTCGTCAAGCATTTTGCCATAAAAGGTATCGTTCACCTCGTGAGCTATGAGCCTTTAACCGATTACATTTCGAGCGTAGCATCTGTAAACCCGGAGCATCACCTGCAGCCGGGCTTGATATACGACTGCCTACCCGATGTTTCAAGATGTGTTTAGCATCACTTACACACGCGCTCTTGAGGACGCACTTTGCACAATCGCGCACCGCGTGCCGTATGTGTTTCTTTCCTGCCCCCCACCCCACACATCGCGGTAAATACGAGTCAATACGTCATTTGCATGACTATTTACACCCATAGATGACCGCACTTGGCAGGCTGCTGTCCGGCTTAATTGTCCTCCTTGTGTTTACGAAAACATGTTGTGCGCTGCCTCTGCTGTGTTGAGTTGTTGACCTGCGATGCGAGTTTACTCATCCGTGGGCTCATAGCAGCTGTGTTACGATACAACAGATTAAGAAATGAAGGACTTCAAGTTACAATAAGAGCGCTCTCTCTATCCTATGTTGCTGATGGGGAAATGTATAAACTATGTAGATCTTGAGCTGAAATGGATTTTTTAGAGTGGGCATTAAATCTGCAAATAATTAATCTCTCTCCCAGCGTGCAGTGCCTTTTAAGACTTTAAGAATGCTGTCTTGTGCGTATATGCAATCCCATTGGAGGACAAAAAAAACGGTTTATCACAGCAGAGCTTTTCATTCCATTAATTTCCTTTGTGGATATGAAGCTTTGCTGATATGGCTGTGAAAAATTATGTAATGGAAGATAATTTATTGTATTTTATACTGCCGTCTGGCAGGAAGTATTTACAAATAAAGTGCCGTGTATAAATTAATAACATATTTAATGGATGCATTGCATTCTGTGCATATGCTGTGGTACCTGTGTTTCACTTGTCATGTTTATCCTATGTATTAGACAAACAACAGCGTGTGCGGTAGTTTAAAAAAAAACGTTCAAAACATCGAATGGTGTTTTCTTTGTGTTGCCACCTTCGCTTTACTAGAGATTGGTTATTTTTAGATGAACAGTCTGCTGTCATTTTCCATTTCAAGATTTATAATCTTGGTCTTTCAACCACTGCCCCCCACCATTCACATCCCTGTTGCCCCCTACCCAGCCCTTGATCCCCTCCTAGCCTTCCTTCCTCCACCCCACCCCCATTCACATTCATACCAAAAACGAGTCTATTGTGTGCGCAAGTGCCGGTGATGATTTTTGAAAACTGTTATTTTGCACGCTTGTTGCGTGCCAAGCGCACACGAATGAAAACCCTCATCGACATTGGCTCTAAAACAAAATTAAATATTGGCACAAGCCGATGCACAAAGCTTGCAATCCAATTTCCTTTACAATTGACAATGAAACATATAAGTAGACGATTAAATCTATATTTAAATAGCACATGCTGACAAGAACTATGGTCAGCAAATGAAACATTTCACTTAAACATGTGGTTTATTATTTATTTAATATACACTTTTGTATTAAATACACCATTCTATTATATGTTGGAATAATGTAGGAATTTTAGTATGCAGTATAACAAGAGTGAGTTTGGAAATAGAAATCTCCTCAAGCGAACACCAACAAGATGTTCACCTTGGCGTGCTGTTATTTTTTTATACTCATAAATATGAAATGAAAGATGTAATTGTGAAATCGCAGCGGGGAACTTCGACTGTCTAGCGTACTGAGGCACCGACTTCCCCATAAAACTACAACAATCCTACATTGATTTTATACTGATGGCTAAACTTTAGATTTCACAATTTGAGTTAACACCTGATGACCATTGAAGGTAAAGTTAATTAAAATATTGTCAATTTTTTTAAGTTGAATTCATATTTGCATATGGTTGGCTGTGTGCATAAAAACAAATCTAAACTTAGATTCTAGATTTGTTTTAACAAAGGTGCATGTATTGGGCACATCTTTTTCGGCCAAATTAGTCACCACTTATTGACCCCCATTTATTGCACCTAAAACATTACATTTTGTCTCGTGATCATTACATTATGCTTATAGTGCAATTATCAAAACACAATGCATATTCTACGGCCGTATGCCCTATTTTCAGGCGTCCAATAACACGGATCAAATGTGTTTTTTTCATATCCACAGTATAGAGTAAAAACAAAGGAAGACTTCGTTTTTTCCTGATCCCCCATCCCTTCCCAAAATTCAATACATGAGACTTTTGTTAAGCTCTATAAAAAAAATTCAACCCATAATTGCTTGGACACATGCTGCATGTTTCATTAAACATTTAGTTGGATTATCATGTGCATGGTTTTATGACATTTTAATCTAAAACTGATTTTTTGCTGCTATGGGCTAAAATACTGGGATGGGTCTTTTAAAAACCTCGAGCTCCGTTTCAAGTGAGAATTGCAAAATCTTCGTGGTGTGCCACATGTAGTTTGCTGAAGGGAGTTCTGGAAGGTACTCGTGTGTTTTACTGGGCTGTATAGCTTGCCACACTAATGCATCCTAGTTGATGCCAATTAATACTCAAAACATGAATCAATTATTTGCACATGTATTCAGGGTTATTGTTTTAAACCCTCGACAAATATGCAGTGCCGTAAAGCTGCTGGTTCATGATTTTTACTGCTTCTTATATTGAAGATGATGTATAATTCATTATTCTGTAGTGTTTGTGATCCCCCCCTTGAATTATAGTAATGTAGAGCTTATAAAATGTAAAATCGAATTAACTCTTTGGTCATATATTTCAAAGCTGCAAGCTAATCAGTCGCAAGGCATTTATATATCTTTTAAACAAAATTAAATACAAATATTGTTTGAAACCATAACCAGGATATATCAATTATGGCATCAATATGCATGATAGATGACTACATAGTAGCATATGTTTGTGTTGACAAAAATACATGTCATGTAGCACCCAGACAATGTGGATGGGAAAGGAAAAAACACGTGTGAATCTGTTCGTCTGTTCCAAGAGGAACGGTCATGGTATACCAAGGATAGGTGAGTGGTGGACAATGTTAATCTCCATTGTCAATCTTGAGGCAGTGGTGGACAGTCCGCATTTTTACGTGAGAATGAGCGACTGCATAGGACAGCCTTCGTGTGCGTACATTATTTTAAATAGTTTTTTGGTTATACATTTATACGGCTTTAACAGATTTACCTCAATAAAACAACTCAATATACAGATAATTTAGTCTATTCAATACCGAAAACAAAAACCCCCCAACAACCAGAAATGGCGATGTTCACCATAACATTTACTCAAATTAATTGGCTTCACCAGAAATGATCGTTCGAGGCTGGTGACAGAATGGCAGCCAAGGATGGAACTCACCCGAGAGGGTGACGACGATAGGGTATGGATCTGTGAAAGCAGCGTGTATTGGCAGGAACGAGATGGATTTGAGAGATGTCAGCACCATTTTGGCAGGTGTTTTTCCAACGGTGGATGGATCAAGACTGATACTGATGGTGGAAGAGAACATAGCTTTATTCAGAAAATGGTAAGTTTGTAAAACGTATATTTGCATAATGTCATTTTAAGCTGGATTTACAGTAAATAAGGATACAAAGCTTAAACTAACAAGTGACTCATTCTATTATGCAAAAGCGAAAACATCAAAACCCTTCTCAGGTCGTTTTTACATCCCCAAACAGTAAAAAAAAATGGCATTAACCACCGAAAATCAGAACAAGGTATCTTTTTTTGCACTAGTGATAAAATTGCTCGATAATCTGCACCATACGGTCAGTCTTTTCTGCGAGAACAATGGGGTTGGTTTTGTCCCCTTTTGCTGTCCGTTCTGATGAGCTGATTACAACCATAGACACGCAATGTGGCCGTTTGTCCCACTGGATGGGGGGCTGCAAGCGTGGCTGGATATCACATGCTTTCTGATAACCATGCCAACCCTCAACATGCCACCGCTAAAGATAATATATTTCATGATTTTTTTTTCAATTCTTGGTTATTAAAGCCTATTTATGCGTTCGAAAATTTAAGTTATTAAGTTTTATGTCAACATGTTTTTAGACGTGTGTGCATTATCAATAATGAATGTGTGCACTTCGAATGAAGCATATGGTGTTGCTTAATGAGTAATGGTTATCATTGTAAAAAAAATAGCCTACATTTTTCCATTTGAAATAATAGTTTACTTATAAATTCACTCACATAAAATGATACTCCTAGGAAAATAATTTAAAGCCCTTTACTAATCCAACTGCATGAAGCCTCTCCGC